AGCGGCACGGCTCGGCGTGAGGGCTCGTTTGAAATTCAAAGTTAATTAGCAACTATAATGGTTGTTTTAAATAAAACTGACATCTGCATCATGGCTGCCACACAAGTAGATTGGATTAAAGCTGTCGCTCTACTTACTGCCTCTCCGTTATTGTTAATAATAGTGCCGACTATATGATACACGAATTATGCATTCCCTATATATATTGACACTGAGATTGTGCAGACAGTTATATTGTATGTGTCTGTGTATCAGTAAAATTGAAATACTTCCAAAGCAATGAAATGATATCGTTGTAATAGATAAATGAACTTGGTTCAACTACGCGCCAACTACTACAGATTATTAGACACGTACTCACATGTTTGATGTACATACATATGTCTGAAGTAAGGGACCGATACTATCGTGTAATTCATTAAGTAATTAAAGTCGAGAGCGGCGACAGTTCGCGACTCACACACACTATACAGATTACTGGCAAATTATTAAATGCTTTGCTTATGTTTAGGTTTCAGTTATGTAATATTAGCATTATGAAGTTATGGAAGATCGTCCAAACATTGCCCTTATCGAAAGACATGAACGAAATAAATATTTTTCACAATATGAGTACTATTCTCAAACAATACGTAATATAAGTTGGGAGGCTCAATATACTTATTAGTTAAGTTGTCTCGAGCTCGGTATGAGGCTGCAGTGTACTCACAAGAAGTAACAATAAAGTAAAATTGTGTGAAGTTATGAAATAGTTTGTTCCCGGCACATAATACGGAGGATGTTATAAATCTCTCGCTTTGTTCCTCAAGTGGCAGCTCCCTGATATATACTGGTACCGGTACTGGTACAGTACCGCTATCGATGGCCGCAGTCTTTAGCCCCGCCTCGTATATAACAGCATGGAGCCATTTCGCCCGCCGTGAGTAATTAATTGTTGGCTGACATCTTATGAGTTACACGCTCAACGTGCACTACGCCAGGAACTACGTCATTTGTTAAGCATCGTCCCTTTTCTAAATGTTTAATAAATTTTGTGTTGCTATAGACTTATCATAAACTTTCATAAGCACGAAATGATTAAAAGAACCACTTGGAGGTAATCAAATAGAGGTAGTTAACGATTCGATCTCATCGTTCGCTTGATAAAATGTATGTATGTGTAAAAGTGCTGCCTTGTAGCCTGTTTGCAGAAATAAATTCACTTGATTCACTTGTTTCACTTGACTTTTTCTTTTTTTTAGACTACAATAGGATTTTCTTCTGTGTCGTGGGTTCGTTTACAAATATACAATTTCACATACACAGGACACCCAGACCCAAGACAAGAATTTGTGGATCATACAAAGAGGTGCTTCGTGCGGGAATCGATCCCGCTACACGTTGTTTGTATGGCAGCTGATTGCCCAGTCACCGCGCCAACCGTGCAGTTAATTACTATCAACCTTGTTGACAGAACAGTGTAGTTAGAGTAATCGAAGCGATTCTAATAATGGTATCGCAGTATAACAATTAGTTCAGTCCAACCACACTACATGCCGCATTCCATACCACGGCACGGAGTTGTAGAAACACCGATCTCCGGCGATGTAGCGATAGAGGCTCGGCTCCTACAATAACTCTGATGGACATTACCGACGTCGAGTTACTGCAATCAGCCAGCATTGAGCAGTGGTCTCTCCAGGCCACAGCCAGGCTTGTGGCCTGAATGTCTAATAGCCAAACTCGTTACGTGGAGGCGGCAAATTGGCCTTTTTGTGCCGTTCCACTTTATTGGCACCATTCGACAGCGGCGGCACCTTCTCATTTGTTAGCTCCGTTAGAACTAGCTGGTACATCGAGATAATTTGCCGTAGATCAGTCGAATGCTCTGTGTTTTAGGAACTCTGAATGTGGTAGAAACAGAAATTATTATTATTTTAAGTGTATTTGTATTGTAACTTTCGTGAGACATCTATATATATAAAAATGAAACCCGTTTTCCGTTGTCACGCCATAACTTGAGAACGGCTGGACCGATTTGGCTGATCTTTGTTTTGTTGTGTTTGTTATTGTCAGGAGAAGGTTGTTACGACAGAAAATGTCCTGAAAATCCTTCGAGAACGGGAGAAAACGGGACTGCGCGTACGAAGTCGCGGGCAGAAGCTAGTACTAAATAAATTATTATGTTTTCGGCTTACTCACGTTGTAATTCGACGAGGAACTCGACTAGTTTCAAGCCATGCTAGAGGCTCATATTCATGAGCAGCATTTCGCGACACGCGACGCGGCGACTGTCGCGCTACTACTGGCTACTCGAGGCTGCGAGCCCAGCGCGCCCTCTGCCGTGATTCACGCGCACTTTCTTCCATTCGTGGTATCGGCGACGGCGGCGCGCGTGGCACTGTTGGCACGCTAGATTTATTTTAAGTGTAGTTCACAGTGTTGCTCACATTGTGACTAGCCCAACTTTCAAAGGGTATGGGGAAAGATAATAATTACTCAAGTCTTAGCTACGCAAGTAGTAGCATCTAGTGTAATTTCCGATGTCTAAGTAAATATTTAATTAAGGTATATATATTTATAAACACATATTATTAGATACATTTTGTACATCTGAGATACACAAATTATGTACAGATTGTACATTACAGTGTAATACTAAATATTATTACTTATCCGTACTTGGTGTGTGGAAGCATCAGTATGGTTGTGGTGATTGCGAATACTTAGGTAAAGTTACTTTTGAAAAATATTACAACAATGACTAAAGACCGGCTGGCTTGGCCCAGACAGCCGACTCTACAGTCAATCCTGTTATTTAATAAATTCACAAATAGTTGTCGATTCAAGTTAACCCGACACAGATGCGAGGTAAATATGATTCGAGTTCCAAAACGTAGAGTGAATAGCGTGCCCCGAGAATATTCCCAAATCTTAATCAAGCTCTAATCTCTTGGAAAAAGGTATCTTGAGGCCATGGAGAGAAATCTCGGAGCGATCTCATATCGAATAGAAAAGTATTGGAGGCGGGCAACAATTGGGGGTTACCTGGACCTCTGAATATATTTTTATATGAACCCGGACCCTTTTCCTTTTCAATGATACGTCGGGGAATATTTTGACAAACTAATATTAGCGGAGATTACCTCGACGGATAGTTATGCAAACATCGGATGATGTGGGGAGCGCGGACCCTGCTACAGGAGGCAGGGGGCCAAATTACTTGTATGCAATATCTATTATGTGTTGTGTTCGTAATTATATTTTCTATTATTAGTACTTCTATATCTCGGACTATTCACTGGAACTACTTCAGAAACTTCTAAAGCATTGTACTTGCGGGTAAAGTTTTCCATAACTTATTATACTCGGGTTCGTACTCACTTTATTTAATTTAAAGAGATGGAATCACGTATTACGTGCCTCATCAAACTTATTTAAACATTCAAATTAGAATCGAAAACGTTCCTAAAATAAAATATTCAACTACACAAACATTTATATTCCCAATAATTCAGAAATGGTTAAAAATATTATATTTTAAAGAGACCCCATCAGTACACCACACACCGCCCGTGCGACCATTAACCGAGCCACGCGCTCCATCCATCAAACTTTTACTGACGCTGCCTATACTCTTTGTTGTTTTATTGCTATACACTCACACAGACACACAATTGTACATACATGTATCTAGTATACAAGCGTACGTAGGTGCCTATACCTTCACAATAGAAGCTAACAACACGCTTCACAGTATGTGTATTTTTACCGAAACCTTATCGCACAGTAACCTGATTTGTGGTTGACTGATTTATCATTCAGTTCAGTGATATGATATTTTGATAATTTTGTGTGTACCTACATAGGTACCGATTGATTTAACACGCCAATAATTTGCACTAACAACGATGATTGCATGTAATCCCTCAGGACAGATAATTCGTACTGTTAGCTTATTAATTAGATATCATATGTTCCCAGTACTTTGTGTCATGCTAATAGTAATATATTAATTATCGAATATTGTACCAACTGGTATCATATAGCAATCCTTTAATATTTTGTAACCTAGCTATAATAACTACAATTGTAAAAGGAAATAAGTCATGAGTACGGTTGTTATTTGAGCCGCAGTGGCGTTCTCGCCGTAAGGACGCATGGTGGGGGTGGCACGACGACGTTGATCGAAGATTCATTATGGCGGCAGCAGTCGAAGAGTGGAGGCATACTTGTGTCGACATAATTGTATTTTATAGAAATATAGTCGAAGTTAATAAAGCGTAATTTTGATAATACGGCGTTTTACTTTTGAGATCGATTCCTACAGTACGCAGTGCCCAGCGGAGCTTCATATTACCGATGTATTACACCGCGGTACTATTGGGGTAAAACAACAAAAGTATGAGGCACAAATCAACAAAAAGGATTTCGTATTTGCCATGAATGTGTGAGAGGCTTTTGTGACTTAGGACTGGATCGCTGCGTCTTGTTATTGTCTGATCACAGACATCACAAATACAAATCCAAAGACAAACTATACATTCATATTACACTACATAATAGCTAGTACAGGTTGTGCAATCTGTTTGTAAAATAATAACTACTTACCGTCTTAGCAGCTTAGAATACAGTAGTCTTATGGTCTCACAGTTGATGTAAGCTGGCTATTGTGTGAGCCTCGGCAGAAACTAATTCGGATTGTCTCGGTGGAGCATGTTCCCAGCGTGTTCCCAGCGTGTTCCCAGCGTGTTCCCAGCGTGGTAGCAAAGCGAAGTGATTTAGTTTCTTCTTGAGAAGCAATTAGTGATGGTGTCGGAGCCGACTCGGCCGCTGCCGTTGTTTCATTATTAATATAAATGTGCGCTTTGTTTCTATAATGTACATATAAATAAACAGTCACCTTTCTGAAGTGTAATTATTCCAATGATATATGATGTCGATACCGTTTTGCAATACATTTATAACATCAAATCGCGCGAATATTTCTTAAATTATAAAATGATATTTTATCTTTCCAGATAAATGCAGACATGCACCGCACCACGCTTGTGCTCCCTGATGGGGTAAGTCTATGAGTTATAGATGTTACTGAAGTTTAATGTATAATTCTGAGTTTAATTACGCTTACCACCAGGCGGGTTAGTGGTCAAACGTCGGCCCATAAAATATATTATTAAAAAAATTAAACTGACTGCCAAATTGAGCAATACAAGAATTGACCTGATGTTGGTAAAGTCCAAACTGAACTAGTGACCAGCAACTAACTACTAGACAAGGCATGTACTAGTTTGTACCAGTGAATGGCGTATTTTTATTTTATGCGTAAATTAAAGAATCATTCAGCTCATGCGCTTACAATACAGAAGGAACATAATTCTCCTTCGGTCGGCTAGCGCTGCGCAGTGTGGCGTGCGCACCGACACGTACTACTTTCCTGTATTCCTTTATACTCAGGCTATTCATTTACCTAGCGCTTTATCTGCTCAAGTAATCCTTTAAGCTCGCTCTATAAAACCTAACTGTTTAATTCCATTACCACACAACAAACCGATCCTATGAATTTTCATTAGAACTTATTTTGCCATTATTGTGTCTGAGGGCTTCGTTTAATTCATTAACGTCTTTTAGTTAATTCCCTTCGACCTACTATAAAACAAAGTAGATCCAGGCTGTGGTCGCCGACGACAACGATTTTGTTTTGTAAATAAACACCGAGACCTACAGACTACTCGGTGGTCAGTCTCTTTTCATGTCCAGACCATATTATATAGCACCTGTGTACATATTTGCTCGATGTTCGTCCAGTATAGTCTTGTATAAACCACTGGCCACAAACTCCCATTATATCCACTGATCCAGCAAACATCACGTCTCCACGTAGGTATATATATATATTCTCATTTTCTTTTCAAACATTTGTTGGAGCTTTTAATTTATTAAAATGTCCATTTACTCCGTGATCCGATTGGAGGCGGTATTACATCGGAAGTGGAGAATAATAGCCGATTTGCTTATACCAACGGAATTAGCTCCTGATTGGTTTTCTCTATTGAAACGATTGTTGATATCTTTGTTACTGACTAATGAAGCGGCCACGGATTGTTACCGTATTACAATTGTCGGCCAATTCAATGGGGGGGGAGCTCAATGTTTGGAATTGCCTAGAACATACTAACCTATATCTGACATTGATTACTTTGTAAAGATCAAAATGAACCTGAATGGAACTGTTAATAGTATTTGCAAACACAGGCACGTGTGGTTTCAGTGTGAACATGTAGTACTAGCGAGTGATTGCGTACCTTGCATTATTGAGGCAGAGGGCCCATCACGAGCGCTGAATTATTCGCAGCGACCCTCTATGTCCCGCGGCCCTCCACGAGGCGACCCTGCAAGGGCAAGAGATATATGTACCTCCATTGTGTAGTGTGGCACTCACGTCACAGGAGAGTAACCAAGTGACGCATGACGTGTGACGGCCAGTTGATAGTGCGCCGCAGTGTAATCGTAGCGACACTAACACGACACCTCTATCAAAGCAAAGCGTCGCTTAATATTCCTCTCTGCTTGAGGACCACGTTAAGCCCTTCGCACCACCAATTAATTAACCTTTCATTGCTGGAGTACTGTGCTCAGCTCTTTTTGTATTGAGCTTGAAGGCATTTCTAACTTGAATGTGATTCAAATAATTGTTACCTAAAGCGTGTGTCGTAAAGTTTTAAGACTTGTTCGTACAATTCCATCCTGTTACAAAGATTGAGTGCTGACATTACCTGACCTCCGTTTGAAAAACAATTAATTTTAATTAAATTAACAGCTGGAGCTTAAATAGTACTTGTAATGATCAATTAATTTTTCCCGCAACGTATTAATGAGTGGGCGCATATTCCATGATCGCACCGCCGCCGTATCTGTCATAAATCGTGTCATTAAAATGATTCCCTTAATTATCATAATGGCCTCCATATTCCGAAGTTGTTGGGAAATATCACCTTGTACCTTGTGGCAATTAAGACCCGGCTCACGACCCCCCCCCCTCCCCGCGATCCCCACTAACGTAACTTATATATACCTTACAACACACACAATTCTTTTGCATCTCACAATATCAATCAAGAACAGAGACGGACAGCCTCAAACATTTACAAGGAAGGTATTTCACTGACACTGAAGTGGAAAAATGACAAACTGAATAAAGAGTTAAGTGCTCGCTCAGTGCTCGCGCTCACCTTTTTACTGAACTTTTATTTAGCTGTCAGCTGTCAATAGAGCAACAGGAGCGACTAAAGACGCGGCGGGAGCAAAGAGTTCCATTGTGTCGGAAAATTAAAAAGTAAATAGCGTCGTTATTGAGTAGGCGCTGTACTGAGAGCATAATAACTGATATAATAAATGTACAATATAAATCATCGTGAGCTTAGATTTTCGATGAGCGCTGACGCTAATGACGTTTTGACACGAATTAAGTGAGGCGCCACTTGTCAACGTCACCCGCTATAAAGCAGACCTCGACGGGCGACACGCGGCAGGCGACAGGGGTAGTGACGACACCCCGCCCTTGTTTGTGGACCAGCATCAGCTCTCCCACGCACATTGCGAGCGGGGAACTTGCAGCTGAGATTTCCTCTGATACAGTGTCCCACGGGCGGGTGGCACCCGCCAGCCAGTGTTACTCGCTTTAGACATTGCTCTTACAGATCTATGTAGGCATTATGAAATGAAAATGTGGAAAATTTTACAATAACAAAAATAGCCGTAAAAGTACCTCTTCTTATTTACTGAAGCAATCAAAACCAAGACGATTTGACGGCACCGAATTCACATCCCGGCCATCTCTACGCCTTCTTTCGAGGAAACCAAAACTGATGGTGAGTGAAAATAAAAGTGTATGCCCTTACAAACGGCTCATGTTGGCGGAGTGAGGAGCCGAGCCTCTGTTTGAGAACACGGCCGACGGCTGCGGCTCCGTGCGGCCCGCGCGCGGTCGCGATCTCATTTATCATTAAAACATTTTCTTAATTAACTTTACGTACGTAGATGTACGTATGTAGATATATACGGCCTCACTTTGACATGCTTTGGTTTTGATGTTGCTTTAAATATAAATGAAGTTTACAAAGTCAGAGTTCGCAGCCGTAACATTATGTCAGTCGCCAGTCGCCAGAGTATGGTCGAATGTTATATTATCGTTATCTCTGACTTAATCATTTCAGTCACATAAATCAGATGTAATCGTTTAAAAAGTAACTGAAAGCGCGGTATGTGCGGCGGTTGCATATTATTCCCAGCCCACGACGCGCCGCTTGTCAAACTTTGATAATGGGCAGGTGTGGGTGTTTTACAAAGTTGCCGGTTTTTTCACGAAATTGCCGGGCGTGACTGGAGGCGCTGAGACTGCGGCCAATTTGTGTCAAACTCGCGCGAATTTGCCGCTAATTTATTTCACGCTCGTGTTCGCCTTCTATGAAAGATAGTTATTTAATTTCGTAAACGTTAAAGTTTCCTTTTGGACTCTGTGCGTACAATAGCAGCTCGCAAATTACTTTATTTTTTCAAATTCTATTTAATGTCTGTTTGGAAGTTGTGCCGACTGCGGAGGCTCGCCGTGTATTGTCATAATATTAAATTACAACATTGTTGGAAGGCTTACCCAAGTCACTTGAACTCCGACATGCGTGTAAATTGACATTAAACTTCCACCATCTGTCCCCCCGGGGGCGCGGGGGCGCGGGGGCGCGTGTCGCGGGCCCTCACGCGCCGCAGGTTGCCAAACGTTTGCCGATTCATAATGCATGAAGTGTTAAACTTTCGGCCGCTCAACTATTCACCCCCTTTCTCTTTGAGTTAAAACTTTTGCGGCGTCAATATAATACATTCATATTATCACGGGTGAGGGAAATCTAGTGAAACTGATGAATCTTTTCCAACTGAACAATGGACTAAGTTACCACGTGGTCAGTCACGTGGTTCTATGCGAGTAAAGTGACAGAATGAGTAAAGTGACCTAGTGATGTCGTGACTTGCTATGCCTATACCGTGTAGATGAAAATCCAATTCCATAGTTTGAGATCGAAGGCCAAACACAGATACGAAAATGAAACCCTTTCTTATAGTTTTACGACAGAAGGAGCCCGCGGGCGAATCAATCCCGCGGCCTTCAGGACAAAGACATTACCAGCCGTAATTTACGAGCCACTTTAGTGCTCCCACAAAAACTGGAGAACACTTACATACATACAGACAGATGTACCTACATGACATACACATATATAGGTACATGCTGGCGCACCAGCCGCGAACATCGATCACTTTTATGACACACAATTATAACTGCCGTAACTCTTTTATGTACGAATATAAAATTACCTTTTAGATGTTTGCGACTACAAGCTTTTATGTGTCACTCCGTCCGCTTACAAATTATATTCGTTATATTTATATTGATGAAGAAAAACATTTGTTTCTAAACTGACTAAGCAAGCCATTTAGGAAAATGATGCCAGAAGTATGAAAGCACTTCAGTTCCAGCATGTACTGTAATTTGTAGACAATATTTTGAATAGCTCACCACTCAACTCGTCGGTAAACGCGTCACTTCTCTCGTGCACCAGTAAGCAAACACACCTAGTGCGGTGTGTTTGCTGGGTTTTTATATTGCAGGTTGATTTCCACCACGTGCGTCATTAAAGTACATAATATGTTACTTTTATCTCTGCTATGGCATTTAATTACATTCTAAAACATACCTAAAAAACATATAGATAAAGTTGTAAGTGACGTCTTCGACGAGAGGTCAGTAGGACCCATATACACAAGTACGCAACAAGACAATAGTTACGTGGCACTAGTGACCCGCCCACAGAGCTGCGGCTGTCCATCTACGTACATGAACATGTATTGGTTGTACACCGGTCCGCCGGCAACCACGATATGTGCGTAATACCACAAATTAGGGGCTATATTCGAGTTGTCCATAACTTAAAATATTAACAAACAGCGGTAGTTTCGTTACAAATAAATGTGTGTTCTGAAGGCAAAACATCAGTTATTGTACTTCATCAAT